TTTTTTTAAGAGATAACCCTAGATATAAAAAATAAGTGCTGGTTTATACAAAGTGTCTTTTGTTCTTCAAGGTAGTGACTTGACATCAAACTTGAGAAGACTGACAAAACTACAAACAAGAGGAGCACATGTTCAAGAGAAGGGTAAAAGGTTGTTTAGAAGGTAATTTATGACAGCAGTAGGATGCTATATCTGGTTTTGCAAGGAATGTAATCAAAGAACAAATTGAACTGTGGCTTTAACTGTATTATCGCCTTTGAAAGAAATTAATGTTTATACAACTGAACCTATTAGATATATCTTTACAAAACTACACAAAGAGTATATTATGAATTTGTTTTTTCCTCTTACTTCTACTTCATCATCTTGATAAATGGTCCTTACTTCGTACCCAGCCAGTGCTGTCACAAGGAGTTTATGGAAAATTTTGCCAAAATCCAGTAGTTTCCTCTGAAGATACTCTGCCACATGTTTAAGCATGACCCTCTCAAAAAATCAGAGAGAGCTGGTGGAATTTTTTCAGACCAAACACCATGGTGTAGAGGGACAAAAATGTTGCACTTAATGACACAATGCTGTGTGGCAGAAAAAAACTCCCAAACTGTCCTTGTGTTTCTTTTGAAGGGTTGCTATACAATCCTTCTAACAGTTCCCATGTGCATATGCAATCAGTAAGTTTAATTTATGAGCCTTGCTGCTTTCTAAATGTTTAATTAAGTCAGCACTTAGTACTGACTCATAAACCTATAAAAGCTGAAATTGGTGAACTGATTATTCATTGCACCTGCCCTCCAAATATCTGCTAGTATTGAAAGCTGCTAATCAGCAGTCATGCTACTAAAAGTTTGCTATCCAAGCATTTAAAAAGTAAGCAGTGGCATGGGAGAAGGATGGGAAGGCAGGAATGAGCAAAATAAAAAAAAAAAAAAAACTTGTACAAAAAAAGGACTTACATGTTTCCTTCGCCATCATACACCCATCTAGTGCTGCCAATTCCTTCATAGTCTGAAGCCCAATAATACAGGCATGCATTAATGTGCAAGATAAAGAGCAAGTATCCAGTTGTTCTAATGACCCTATAAAAGTCAACAGATTCCTGTAAAACACCTTAAATTTTTCATTTTTTAATTTTTTAAATTTAATATAGAACCCATTACTTTTTTGGATTAACAATGTTAATGTTAAGCATAAAGCTAAGTAGTTCCCCACCTGTATTGAGTCTATGAAAAAATAGCTGGCAATTACCCATCTCTCACATCTGTCCAAGGTCAAATAAATATCTTCCCTAAAATATTTGACATGGGGTAATTTTTAAATTATGGTTCCCTGAGGAATTTATAGTCCACTTCTCTAAATAGCTATGAATATTTCCAGAAGTTTGAAGCTATATTAATGAGGGTCCAGGGTAAAAAATAATGTGTTTCCCAAACTCTATCCAAGATAGACTCTAAACTTGTGAACCAAAGCCAAGAAATGTTTGAGGTCAGAAATGAACTGCTTTACAAGACCTGTAGTATAAAACCTGCAGAAGATCCTCTAAATAATATGATTTAGTCTCTACAGCAAGAGTTATATCATTCCTGATCCCAGTTCTTATGTTTGTGGCCAATTCTTTGAAGAATAACAATGATGAACTACTTAAGCACCAAGCAGCTTTCTGTTAATACAATAATGATCTCATTGTATATCCTCTGTTCAGGGCATGGGGATCAAAAGAAATGTCTCCTGGATTAAGATCTCTATTGAAATATTCATACAAGCAGGGGATAAATAAGCAGGAAAAGTGCAGTACTTGCCTAAACACAGGCTGGTAGTTAGTGACTTTATCTGCTAGAATAGAATTCAATGCACTATGCAGTACAGAATAACTGAGTAAGTGGTTTTATGAGACTTTAACAAGATCTAACTAAGTTGGGTCTATAAACAAAGATAATGGGAGCTAATATCTCTGCGGTTACTTCATTAAGCACTCCTTTGTTGCTTCTTCAGATGCCTTTTTATGCCCTCCTTGGCCTTTCCATGCTGTTAGATCATCTACTTAAGTGTACTCTTCTTTTTTATGATGGTCACAAATGAATGCTGTTTCTCTGTTTAAAAGTTGGTGTGCTTCCAGGACAACTCTGTTTAGGATTGCAAGCTACAGAGAACAGCAGAGAGCTGTTGTGGTCTTGTAATGTTGCAATATTGCCCATGCTAGGTCTTCTGTTCAAGCTTGAATCCATGAAAGTGAACTCTTGAGGTCTGAGAGAAGATTCCAGAAACCTTTGCTGTGTTACATTTCACCAGACATATGTTAAATATATCAGAATGAGAAGATGTAAGTAACTCGTGCTAGTTCTATTCCTATAAACTCAAATGAATTACTTTGAGAAGAGAATCCCCCTTGCTGTAGAAGCTTAGTTTGTTATTATCAAGTTAATTGGTACCTTCTTGCTCAAAGTGTGGTTATACTAATGTCAGACAAAGCAAGATGACAACATTAAAATTAAATGCAGTAGTTAGCACAAAAAGACTGGGGTTTTAGAGATTTTTTTAGCTTCTGCCTGTACTCTTCTGTATAACTACCTCTGTTCTTTGACAATGAGCAAAATCTGTAGTCAGTGTTTTCTGAAGTATGAATTAGAAAACAGATTCACTTTGAAATATTTAGATTCTGCAGTTTACATTATGCAAGTGATTTAATACTGGCAATCTGAATGGGCCAGGAAACAAAGACACAAACAGCAACACAGTTGTGGTTCTTAATATCATGCTAAAAATTTCTCTGACAGGGCAGAGTAGCTGGCTCTGCTACTGCATACATTTTGCAGGACCAGTGAGCTCTTGCTCTGTGTGTCTTGCTTTTCTAAATGAGCACTGTTTTTGACATGTAAATAAACATCACATTTTTCAAAGCTGGTCTAGCTTGAAGATATAACATCCCCATCACAATTTGTCCTTTGAACATTAATCTCCCGCTCTGTATTTTTGTAAGTGTGAATTTCTGTCCCTTGAAAAACTTTATTTGGGTGAAAATGAATTTTAAATGTGTTGCCATTTCTTTGAAATCTATATACATACAACAGTATTGTTACATACAAACTAATTACTTGATTCAGAACTGTCTATATTATTATTCTCTCATTGCAAGTATTATAGAAGACACAGAAAAAGCATTGAACTATGACTGCAAAAAGCAATGGATATAATATGGAAAATAATTACTTTTGAAACAATTAATTTTAAAGCTTATCAATATTAGAAAAAATTAAATACCATAAGCAGATGAAGGCCCAGTTTTTAAAATGAAATTAGGAACTGAAGAAGGCCGAGATTCAGAAACTGAGAAGAAATTTATTCGTCTTGTGGGAATTCAGTCTTCTCTTGACCCAAAAGAATTAAAAAAAAAACAACAAAAAAAAACCAAAAAACCACAACACCAAAAAACCAAACCAAAAAACCCAAACTACAAAGGAATCTTCCATGAGTGAAAACGAAGTTAACTATAAATTTTGTGAAGGTCAGCGTGTCAAAAATATTTTACTAGAACTTTCAAGCTTTTAAGTTTTGTTTTATTTCACAGTTACATGAAAAAATGAAGGAGATGATATTTGAACCTCCTTTTGAAATTTATCTTGTTTTAAAATCTCATAAAATATCTCATTTGAATGTATTAATATCATGTGTACTGTTTAAGTGCAATAATCTCTGAAATGAAATAAGATGGTAACCAACATATTTCTACAGCACCTACAGACAGTAACAAATACATGCCCCAAAACTGGGACAGGGAAAAGGATCTGTTGGTGTAGGTATTACACAAGATAACCTAGACCAGATGACATTGACAATAATGATGACAAAGCAAAGGGTTCATTGGATCTTAGCAGCATCACTGGCAGCTGAGGGGCTTGTGAAAGTTGCCATAGCTATGTCCAACTTGAGTTGGATCCAAAATTCTTTTTGTCAATGCAGAAGGTGAGAACACAGTTCAGCAGGCTATGGTTATAATCACTATTTGTGAACTGTGCTGAATTGATCCTCATTGCAGCTGTAGTCAGTGAAGTGAAGGATCAAGTTTCTGTATATGCCAAGTTCATGGGGAAAGCATGTTTGAAGAAAAATGTTGACACAGACTCAGGCTCATAACTCTTATTAAGCACAAATAAACAGCTTCTGAGGATTTGGAACCACTATTAGCAACTTAAAGAAAGTGGTTTTAGCTGTTTCATTAAAGAAACTTTTGGAAACTTCTGATCAATTAGATTTTGGCAGAAGCCTCAGTTTGGTGAACATTTTACCTGAACCATGCCAGCTGAACTGAGCTAGATTTCATGCATAAGTGAGGCCTTATATATATATTATTTTAATGATTACCATAAAGGCAGGTATTAAAAAAAACCCTTTAAATTGAACAGTTAAAGATGTATCATATTCCACCCAGTGCTTAACTGACAACTCATGAAATCATTTGAAATGCATTCTGTGCCAAACTTTGCATGCTACTTGAGTTTTATCATCACATACCTGTAGATGTATGCTTTTTCCATAATAGCTTCCAAACGATCATTAAACTCAAAGAACGTGTTATGCTGAATGGAAAACAAATGAAAGTAATCCAATCACTATTTTTCAGTACTTTTATAATAGTACTGACATCAGTTCTCATACACATTTTGAAAATGGATTTTTCAGTAATCAAACTTTCTATTGGTTCTGGCCAGAACATGGTTAATTTTTGCAGAATCTGGGAGGGGCATGACTAGGACTCATGTTATTTTATACCACCTCAGCTCATTGCTGGGAGTGGGATAACTGGGCTATCTCTTCCAGTCAGGGAAGGTGTTCCTTCCTGTAGAGAAAATCTAGCAGAGGGTGCTGTCTGGTATTGTTTATTATTGGGGAGTTTTTCCATGTGAATTACCTCTTTTCTTAATACTCTCTGTCATTGACAATGTTGTTGTTAGTTTCATTAGTTCCATTAATTCCATTTCTTATTTTGTTGTTTCCAGAATATTGTTCTTATCTCAGCCTGTGATTCTTGCCTTTTGTGCCTCCAGTTGATGGGGGAGAGGGACCAGTTTTAGTGGGAGTACTAAAATGGAAAACACTATTCCTAAACCATGGCAAACATGTAACAAAAATATGAACTGAAAAACAAAGATAAATTTCAGTCAAGTGTTTTTCTGGATGTTGAGTGATTACAGAAATAACCTTGCTGTTTTGGTGAGAGTACTGCAGGCAAACAACTTCTACTTCCTCATACATATATAATTGCTTGGGCAACACGATCACAAAGACTTACATGCATTTTTTCTCTTCCTGAAATTCCAGTAATTCTCCAGTAAGTGATCATATGTATCAACAGCCACATACTAGAGGATATCCTGTGGCATCAATGGCAGCTGTATTGAATTCTTCCTGTTTAGTATTTGCAGTTTATCATTAGTGATTGCATGTAGCTTTTTTCTTTGTTTTTGTTCAATACACAGCTGGTTGCCTAATACAAGGTACTATTTAACTTTTCATTCTTTCATATTATTTTGGTTCTGTTTTAAGGAATTTTTAAGTTTTCTTGAATACCAAACTGAAGAATACCTTCATTTTATTGTCAGAGTTCTGTACTCCCCCCAGTTTTTAATGAAAACCAATTCTATATCAACATGTTGATTGTATGCAGAGAAATGCATTTAGCCACAGAGTGGCCTGCTAGATAATATGTTCTAATCCCTTCTCAGATCTTTCATTACACAGCTCCAAGGTCTTTGGAATTGATAACAAAAGTAGGTTTGTGCTTGATAGGTATTCTGTGTATAGTTTTTCTCCTCAAAATTATCTCCTATGTTTTTAAACACCTGACATAAGCAACAAAACGGGAAGGTACATTGGCATTAATTAATAATTTTCTTTAATCTTTGAAAACAAAGCAGATAATTTGAGATTAATCTAATTTAAATAATGAGAGAAACCAAGCTTTAATCAAAAAAATACTATTTTGAAATTAGGAAATAATAAAATCAGAAGAAAAATAAGAAAATAAGGGCTTAATTTGGCTAGACTATGACTTATATTTTTGGTTTTTTTATTAAATTATGCTGTACCTTACCTTGAAGATATTTTACAGTCTCTAAATTTCATATTCCTAAATATTATAAAAAAAATTCTGTTGCATTGCAAAAACATCTAGACATGGTCAGCCCTCCATCACTAAAACAGATCTTACCTTTAGCATCCTGTTTGCTCGAAGTGCTGGATTAAATCCAAAGAAGAAGTATAAAATGTCAAATGGAAACACTGATAGCACATCAAGCTGTTGAAGAGCAGAGGGGTCAATTTAAACTTCATAGTAATCATAATGTATTTATTTGCTGTCAAAAACCTGCTTAGACTGAATCATGACTGCAATAATATTTGAAAAGTCAGCATGCTAAGCATGTATCTTCCTAAGTACTGGCAGGTAAAATTATCTCCTTGAAAAACTGACAGCTTGGCTTTGGCCTGCTTTTGTGCCTGAGATTTTAATCTGTTTCATGTGGATTATTAACAGTATCTCATATATTTGATTATTAATATATTCTGTTTTTTCAATTGTAGTTCTGATCAGAATAAAATGTTAGGAATGGGGCTGATGAGTGCAGATGGGGAGGCCACTACACAAGCACTTCTTAAAAGTCCTTTAAAACACTTCTTAAAAGTCATTCTTAAAAGCTTTTAAAACAAGGCTGCCTAAAGCAACTTGAGGAAGCACAATGAGTTAGATGTCTTGCTTGCAACCTGCAGAAGTCTGTGGTGGTGTAGTCATGTTCCAAACAACAGATACATCATACGATAATTAATTTGGCTTTTTTAAATTATTTTTTTATTTGTTTGGTTGATTGGTTGGCCTGGGGTTTATTTAATTAGATTTTTTTTCTTCTATCAAATTTGTATGCTGCTTCTTCCCATACCACTAAAGTTTTTAACATCTCCCTGCAGTCCATCAACTATGCGATTACTCTTCTTATGTGTATCTATTCTTTCCTAAGAGAAGGAAAGTTGTGGCAAATGTATCTTTTTTTTTTTTTTTTTTTTTTTTTTTTAAAGGTCGTGGGATACCTTGCTTTGTTGCTGTTATTGCTTGGAAGTAAGAGAGGGAAGTGGAGCTCTGGGCTTCATCTAACTGAAATCAGAAATGCTTTTGCTCTGAGGGGTGTAAATCATGTTGGCAGCAACCAGCCTGCAGCACTGACCTTTTATTCCATGCAGGTAAGAGGCAATTAATACCTGAACAGTGTACAAAGCAAACAAAAAAATTGATTGAGAGAAACTGCCTCTTATGGTCTCTCTTTCTCTCCTTCTCTCAGATATATGTCTAAGAGGAGGGAAAATTTAGTCAAAAGTACATTAATATCAGTAACTGCTAAATAGTACTTAATCATATAACAAATTCCCACATTATATCTGTAACTTTCATATAGTAAGAACATTCAGGTCTTAATAGTTTTTTCAGAAATCAAGAGTCCTAAACATACAGCAAGTGTGAGCTTAAAATAAAACCATACAAATCCACTTTGGTCTCCTGCTTTAAGTTTCACTCTGTCAAACCCATTTGACTGTATGGTGTACATCCTGCAATTTTGGATCACTTAATATCAAGTATTTAAGTAATGATACTACAGTCACTGAGAAAAAAAATAGCTCTGAACAAGGCAGGTGCAAAAGTAAAGAAGAGGAGAGGGCAATAATTGTGATATGTGCTTAATGTCACAGAGCTGTATTTTCATCAGGAATTCAATAAACTACCTATCTTCCATTGACAAAATAATCCCAACATTTAGGAACAGCATTAACAATTTTCCTAAATCAAATGCATCTTTGTTTTTATAAAGTGCCACGAGCATAAAAAAATCTTAGTTTGAATTTTTGACTACTCTGAGTGATGAAATATTTAATTCAATAAGGCACTTCAAAAGAGTTTACAGAAAAGAGTTATCATTTCTCTCCAGGAGTTTTAGTTTTTTTTAATGAATCTCTAGCAAATGGTGCTACTCTCTTTAATGTGTGCTGGGATGACCTCACAAAACCAAATGAAATTATATTTTATTAATTTATTATAATTCCAAAATAATATTAGAATTGCACTTATAAGTATTCTCTCTTCCAGTTAAAAACTGTTTATGAAGATGCCAGTTTCCAGCAGGTGAACACTGATATGCCATTGAGCCAATGCTTTCTGGTGATATTCTTAAACCAACAGTGATTTTCAGTGAATGAGAAAAAAAATCCTGTGAACAGCCAGAACTTCATATTGGTATCAGTAACACAGGTTCTACTTACCCGAAACTTCACAGTGCTGCGGTAGAATTTCTCTGTTTCTGCTCTGTCTGACTACAGTGATAATGAAAGGAGAAAAAGGCACAGTCAGAACCAAAATGTCAAGGATGAGCCTCTGCTACTCCACAGTACAGTAGAGGTGATGACAGTTAAATTAATGATGGTCTAAAAGTATGGATGGAGAAATATCTGTAGACGTACTATTATTAGTCAAGGTTACATTAGGTCAGATTTTATTAGAATGACTTGAAAAAATGAAATTTGGGGTTTGTCTCATTTTTTCCAATCTGGATGTTAGTCTAGAAAAGTACATTACATTTTTTCCACAAAACTTCCCTCTCAAGACATCTGTATGACTTCATGTTCAACACAACCCCCTTCAATTTCATGGCAAAAAATGTATTTATCTGCAGTGATTCTAAGAAAAAAAACCTCAAAGAGTATTTCTAATGATGCTGTACAAAATTAGCTCTTTGAATGCTAACATTAACATGCTAGCATTACTATCATTACCATAATCAACACTGCATTCATTAGTAATGATTAGCTTTTTATTTTTAAATTATTCTTCATGGGAACTGATGCTAATAAAATAAGAAAGCATAAGCACAAGTACATAAAGAAATTTATCTATTATTATACTTTCTGTATTTATATCAGGGAAACTTTAAAAATAGCTTTAAGATCTTAATCATATTTCCCTCCCAACTTTCACTATTATCAGTTTAAACATTAAATGCAGGAGATTAGGCAGGAGATGGCTTCTGTGCACTAAAATCTGTGAATTGTAGAAACAGCTTCAAGGGAAATACAAGCTGAGTTTTTTATGTTAGAATTTTAACTTTGCTCATAAAAATTGAGTTTTGTGGGATTTAGGCAAGATCCAGCTACTGAATGTCTTGGTGTGGGAAAAATACATTCCACTGCACTGCATTTAATACCTATTGAAATGATATTTGCACAGCTTGGCCTGTAAAGGTATCGGTAATATCCTGTATGTACAATGTATAAATTTTTTTGTAAAAGTGCTGAAGTAAAGCTAGTTCCAAATTAGATTTGAAGATACATAATTTTGAATTTTCTTTCTGTTGGGCACAGTAATGTCATGCTGAAGTTATCGGAACTTTTTTCTTTTCCTGAATTACATGTCTTTTTTCTATAGGATGTCAAAGAATCAAAAGCAGGGAAAACTTTAAAGAAAAATTAACATTCTAGATACCCTTTGGCAGGTTATGGGCAAGCTTTCAGATGCTTATTTAAAATTTTATTTTACATTTTTCTATGAAAAGATAACACGAAAATTGTAGCAAGAATCAAAATTTCCTCAAATGGGATTACCTCAAATTAATTCTTTTCAAAGTATCCTAAAATTACAGGGATTTGTTCTGATTTTGGAAAAAAATAAAACCACCATCTCACAATCGGTTACAAAGCATCCATATCCTGTCCAACCCTAGCAGAATATGCCCTGTCTTCAACTGTGATTATGGTACAAGGCAAATAGGTGAGAGTTTCACACAAACAAATATATATGCACAAATACATTTGACCACTGATTCCAGTGAGGAATCAGTGTTTAGAGCTGTATGCCTGTTTCAGCTGTTCTCATCGTTACTTTTAAATATGTTTTTTTTCAATTTTTAAGAATTCAGGTAATGGATATGTTTCTTCCTACATAGTATAATAGAACATCAGTGTAGAATGCAAGGTCAGTGATGAAAAATATATGTATCCTTTGATAAATAAAGAAGCCACATAGATTTGACATAGTGATAAAAAGCAAGTGTTAGCTTGGATGAATTTCTATACTCTAACACACCACTACTGCCCATGGGAGTCCCACTTCCAATACTCACTATTATATCTCCCCCTTTGATAAACCGCACTCGGGGCTGGAAGATGACCAGGTCGCACAGGTAGCAGATGTCACACATGACATCAATGGCAAACCAGTAGATCGTGTTACTGGGGGTTTGATATGGGAACACGTAGCGCAGGGGAATGAACCAGCAGTTCCAGTTATAGGCAATGGTCACAAGCATGAGCCACGCCACGTAACGGCGATCTGAAAGGAAAAGCATTGAACGGAGAGGCGGGAACTTGGCGCCTGTTGCCATTTTTTTAGACACATTCATACTGCTGGAGTCTCTGGGAATGCTCCAGCCCACACCAACCTTCCAGTCTCCCTTTTGCAACTGGAATGCTGCTAAAGTAATGTAGCTTGGAAATAGGAGTCACACAAGGAATTTGCAAAAAGAGCGTGTATTCAGTGCACCTGAAGAAACTAATATGATCAAATATAATTATTGCATATAAGATATTGCATCTTGCTCATGTATATTATAACTGACAAAAGAATTATTTGGCCCTAATGAATGGTACAAATTCCAGATCAAGAAACCGAAGACTTGGGTTCTAATTCTCATCAGTTTGCATTAAACTTTTTTGCTTGTCATCTTTACAACTGTTGTCACTTTCCCCTGTTTGGAATAAATGTTGTTTAGGACAGGACCTCTGTGTCCCTGGGAGTTGCAAACTGGAATGTGTACCTTATGGTGGCTCACAGGTGCCATGTAATAGCTGGTCACTTCAATATGAATTTACACCATTACATACACTGCTTTAAATTTACCTGTGTATGAGTCAATGGTATCTGGCAGCTTCATATACTCCATGTATTTTTTCAGTGGAGGTTTTTTGAATTTACAGCACAGCATATCACAGTAGTGATCCTCCTCTGGCTTCACTTCTGCCTCCTCTTTCTTTTCTTCTTTCTTTTCTTCTTTTTTTTCATCTTTTTTTTCATCTTTTGGTGGGGGTGGAGGCTTCTTTGGTGCTAGACACATAGATTACCAGAAACATTGGTAATTTAAAAAGGGCTCAATTAATTAATCCTGTTTTAACATGAACAAAAGCTTCATCATATTAAAATATCTTGTAAGAACACTGAGCAGTGACTAAATTAATTATATTAAATACATAGAAAAACACTTGAAGAATAAAATCACCACTGGTATAAACATGTGCATCTGCTATCTTGAACAGGGCACTTATGTTACAGAGTGCTATATCTTATCTATACTGCTTAATTTCCCTGGACGATGCCTACATAAGTTATAAGTTATACCTTATATAAGTACCTTATAAGTTATATAATTATATAATTTATATAATATATAAGGTTATATAATACCTTAAAAATAAAAAAAATAAAATATAAGGTTATATAATACCTTATAAGTTATTAAGTTATACCTTTTATAAGACTGACAAGAAAATTGTTAATTCATGATTTAGCATTCATTAACATGAAAATAGCATTTCTCTTTACATGACTGTTGCAAAGAATGAATGCAGTGAGGATGGAGGTGAGAAAAGACCACTGTGCCATGAGCTGATCTCTCTCCTCTCCTGAACCTGATATGCAAGATGCAGTAGGTGAAACTAGTGGGAAGCTTATAGTCTTTTTACATTTCTAGGTTTATAAAAGTCTTGTATCACTCCTTTGAACCGAGTTCTTCCATCTTTGAGCTGGATAATGTTTGCTCATGTGTCCTATTAATTCTGCTGGCTTTACCTCTGATTAGGACACACAGTCTTACCAGTAAACTGACAAAGTGGATCTATAATAAGTTAGGAAATAAAGGTCATAAGTTCTACAAAGAGAACAAAAGAGTTAGATCAGCAAAGAAACAATTTTTTTTAAAATTCCTTTATCAGTTGGTATAGTTTATTATTTTTCAGGCACCATTTTTATAGCTTTTTAAAAACCATATATGCAATGAAGAGCTTCTAAAAAAGTGCCAGAATGTAAAACCACCACACTCAATTCTTTGTGGAAAGGAAAAAAAAGGTCAAACTTTCCTCTGAAGAGGAGAAAAATTGGTTTATGTTTCATATTTTGTCAAAAGTCAATGATAAATTAAGGTCAGATGAGTTTACTCTATTTAAAGTATAGACTTAAAATCTTCAGTGTGTCCAGATTTCTGTCAAGGCTAAAATTTTATTTATTTTTGTTAGACAGAAGATCTCATATCAAAGTGAGTAACATCCACTCATAAGACATATGTTTCTTCATATGTTTCTTCATATGTTTCAGATTCATCTGAATGAATAAACATCTCTGGGAGCTATTTCAAAATACAGAAAACTTTTTGACATTACTGATTCTAGATACTGCCTCTGTAAGGTTTTTCCTCAAATTCTTCAGTAATGTAATTCAAAGGAAGTAATTCAAAGGGAATAATTGTACTTAAGAATTCTGGTTGACTGGAGAGTAGGGATAAATTGACTTCATAGGGCACAAAGTGATCCTTTCCAGTGGATAAGCACACTATACTTACAAAAAAATTATGACAGTATTTTCTGTTACCACAAAATTATTTTCAGTTTTAAACTGAAAAAATGCACAGCTATTTCTAGAGGCACTTACAAGTTGGAGGGCTTGCTTCAGGTGAAGATATCACTGGGTCATTCAGCTTTTCCTTATAGACATTTGCCCTTTCACGCAATTTTTTGACAAGCTCTTGAAGCTGGGCATCAGCATATTCGTTTGTTTGGGGACCCGGACGTGTTGGCTTCTGTGCGCTGGTTAAAACAAAAGGAGGAAAAAGGCTTCATGTACTGGAAATCAATGGAAGGAAACAGTGGTAATTCTATTTCTGAACTGAAGTCGGACATTGAGATTGGATCATTACTGAGCACATTGCTTATTCATATCACTTAATTAATGCTAAGTGGAAACCTAAGTTACCTAAGTTACCAACACAGCAGCAGTCTGTGTGTTGTTTCAAGCAGAGGTCAGGGTACCCTGTTTAACCTACTGCACTACTGGCTCCCCACTGCTGCTTTTCACCAAGTTCCTCTGTGGCTGTGTAAGGCCTAGAGCTTTCCTGATGTATTCACTAAGTTACAAGGCATCCTCTTCACATCTGTTTATAAAAATGTACTCATTGTGATACGGCAATATACTAATGATGACAGGAAATGCAGGTGGAGGAGGAGGGACTTATACTTTACACTTTCTAATGCTGGGTAAATTTATTTCATCCATGTTTTTTATGTTTTTAATAGCTAACATGAGGTAAAAAATTTGCATCTGTTTTCAGTGGAAACAAAACACTGGTCTTCTTGCTGAGGTTTGTTCTTTTTCTGCTAAGAGTTTGCTCAGGGTCATAGTAGCACTATGCTGATATTCCAGCACTCACAGCATTTGTTCAAACCTGAGAACTATCGATTTTCAAACACCTGCAGACTCATACTCTGCACTGAAACTAATGCTTTCATTAGGTTTTGTTCATGCTGGGCAGTCAAATAGAAAATCCAGGTGAAAGTGATTCTTGATCAACTCTTCTGTGCTTATTCTTACTTGAAATTTCATCCTTGATTATTTGCTACTGTCTGATTTTGCAGACTGGGGTTATTTTTGAGTGCAACTCAGCTGGCAGCTGGGCCACACATTTGGACTTCCTCTGTGTAAAGACCAGGACGTGGGATTTTTTTTCTGTACCCTTGACTCAACCCTTCTCAGCTGATGTGATTCAGAGTGTCAGAGATGGCTGGAAATGGCTGTGACTGGCACAGGGCAGCTTGAGGTCCCCTCCCAGTTGCCACAAGTCACAGCTGCCATCCTGTACTGAAATTCTGAAGGCTATGCCCAATATAGGAGCTACAGCAGGAAATGGTGCTTTCTTTCTTAACAGTTTTTCAGCTGTCCCAGGTACCACAGGGATGTGACTACAGCAAGAGTAGCAGCAGATCAAAAGTAACATATGCTTGAAATGCCCAGATTCTTGAGAAAATCTTCCCAAATGTGAGTAGGGAAAAAGTGGTACGACAGTGCCTTGGGAAGGGAAGAAATGAGCACCACTGCAAAGTGATCTTTGAGTAAACACCATGTCTCCTCAAGACCTAAACCTATTTTAAAATTTCTAACAGAAGGAGCTGTAGCTAAAAAAGGAGAGTGTCAGAGTGGGATGTGTCTAGCTTTTTGAGAAGCAGTTTTCTGGAGACACAACACGAATCACAGTGCACAAGGAAGTATAATTTAAGCATATAAAAATCCTTCAGCAATAAAACCATTGGATAAAGTGGAGATATGCTCCACTTAGAAGCAGCAGCAGAAACAAAAGTTGGGAAGTGTATGCTTGTCATTTCTCTATTTTAAGCCCTGTATACTGTCTATTTCTTAAAGCTCCTCAGACAGGAGATTAATCAAAACAGTTCTGATACATTTTGTAATCACATCACAGTTCCTTTTGTGTCACATTGTCCCTTTCCTCAGGCCATCTGCAATGTAATGACATCCTTTCTTGTTTTGAGCTAACATCTCACAATTAGTTTTTTGCTTTTATGCAAAGAATTTAAAATGGTCCTTAGTCTTTCCTGTTGCTGTATTTGCTCACGTCATTAGCTATCTTATAGTTAGGCACCACTTACCACAAGTGTCAAGCCAAAAGCCCCTTCTAACTTCTTTCTAGGGATAAACTACAAATTTCTTGAGATTTTCCTCTTATTTAATGGATTTTCCAACAACAGTCAAAGTTTCCTCTATCATGAATTTGGTGCAACGTAGTGCAGAGGAACCATGTTTCCATTTGGCACTGATTAGAATCTATGTGACTTAGTTTAAGTTATTTGCCCTGCAATTGATGAGAAATTGATTTTCCTTGCCCTACTTCTCATTTGGCTTGCATTACCTCCTACTCCATTATTTTCTTGTAATGAAATGCTTGCTTTAAATTTTCTTTGGTTAATATAGATGGAAGAGACTGCATGCTGAATACTAGTAATTTGAGGATGTTTATTGTACATGTACTTTGTATGAGGGTGCACTTTAAATTGCCTGGGCTAATGAAGCCCATTTAAACTTCACTAAATTACTTTTAATTAACCTTGACTCTTTCTGTCGCATTTTATCTTAGATCTTGTGCAATGTGTTACAATAGGCCTAGGTCTATATTATTTACTCTCCATGTAGTCCTTTACAGAGTAGAAATGCTCATTCTCTGTACAAGTAATTTCATGTGGCCTAGGAAATGAAAATCAAGATGGCAACTCATGTACTATGCACACAGTCTTGTTACTACCTCAAACATATTTTGTTTTATGATAGCAATATATGTAATATGGGAAGTATAATAATATTCTGATATATTTCACTTCTTGATTTTATTTTTATAACTTGTAGATTTAAACTTGTTTGTTTAATGATAAAATTGCAGTGCCTTTATTCTCCCCAAGCCACAAGAGAAGCTTTAGACACCTATAGCATAGTTAAAGAATATCACCTTGAAGTAGGCTATGAAAATTGAGTATACTATTGTAAATTGAGTATACTATTGAGTATACTTATGTTTGCAACAGCTGTTAAGTACTGTGGCTTGAAAGTTTTCTGTTTCTCTTTTTTAAGAGTTCAAGAGTTCATATAAGAAGAGTTAAGAGTTAAGAGTTCAAACAAACAGTGATATGAAATACAATAGGTCAGAAACTTTGCCTTTTTCTAAGTTGCAATCTAGGGTTTTAATTCCTTCCTGTTTCTGGCCATGAACACCAAATATCTGAGTTCAATTTCATGTTTAATCTACCAGGCGACCCCTGAGAAAATGTATTTCATAAATGTGTGCTGCCTGGAAAATATCCATAATACTTTTTGCTGATTTCAGTTATAACCCTATATTTTTTTTCAGCACCTAAGAAACTTTCTGCTAATTACATGGAAATAGAGTTCTTGGTCCTGCAATAGAGCTTTCAATACTTTTATAGAGCTCTGATGTGATTTATGATGGCATTTACAATCTGTGTCTTGAAAAAAAATTGTCTTTTCTGAATAAACTAGGGAGAATCTCTGATTTGGATAATCAGTATTCAGAAGGATATGATCATAAACAAAACATGTGGCACAGATGAGAAAGATTTTGGAGAGACAGAAAAATGTAATTCCAGGCATCATGAAATGTATTGATTCAAAAACACATCTTCAATTTTTGCTGACAATCCCAGTATGAGTAACGACATAGAAGCCCTGAGTTCCAAGCCTAAGAGCAGTCATCCTAAATTACTAAGAAAACTAGTGATAGAAAAAATCCAACATATTAGTCACTTGCTTGGTACAGAAAGAGAGGTATTCTAAAAAGCTAAATTTATTATACTGTCTCTCTCTATAGTCCAAAGAAGGCTCCCCTGAGGAGAGGTTCAGAATTACTGAGATAGGATTCTGCTCTGAATTGCCTGTGAAGAAAGATTATTTTTGTCCTTTATCTGCAAAGGATGCTGTTAGGGTTTTAGGAGTGAGTTTTAATAGTCTCCGTCATGATTTTGGTACAAAATGTAGTAGTGTACTAATGATGTTTAACAGGACATTGGATTTGGAAGATTAAAAAGTAGGAATGATTCCTATGCAGGAAAATTTTAGTTATTTAGTCCAAGTAATAGAAATGAGGACAAGTCTAATGCCCCATACTACAGAAACGTACTTAAAATCTAATTGTAAGAATTTCATTTGTAAATGATGGGATCATCAGGTGCAGGTGACAAAAGGATAACTGTCCAAGTGTTTAGTCAAAGGGAAGTTGCCTATGGGCCATTCATAATCTGGCTATGAAAAACACTGGTGCAAATATAACTGCAGAATGCAAATTGCATACTGTGAAGGAAGTAAATATTAATATTGGGATATAGGCCATCAAAAGGTGCATTCCCATAGTCTAAGACACTAGAAAGTCTCTTAGAATGGCCAAGGTTACTGGGAACATGACTTTGAAAAGGAGAAAAAACCAGATAGAAACATAATAAGATCACTGTCTATGAAATAAAATTTTGTTGCTGAACCATGGGAAAATAGGTATTAGAGATGAGAAAATGCAATGTGAGAAGAAGAAATGTGAATGGAGGAACAGTGAATTATCATGAGTTAAACTTCTGAAGAAAGTTTCCAAGCCTTTATTGACCAGAATTCTAGGCAACTTTCATTATGAGTGAGGAGCAGTTAAAACAAGTGTGATAGACTTCAGGATTATGTTAGCTAAGATCATGAAGACTGTTGTAGGCTGTGATTCCCAAGAAATCAAAAGAATGTATGCAGAATGACATAAAATCCTTTTCAGCAAACAAACTTGAAATATATAAAGGTTTGGGAAGTGGATAAATGACTTAACCTGTATATTTACCACCCACTTCTTCTTCCAAAAATCTTAAAAGCTCAAGTGCTATGAAAGTAAGTTTCTAAGATATATAGATTATCTTAAAGTCTTGCAACAAGATGTTCATGCATTGGATTCCACAGACTTTCAAAATGTTCTTAATTAAATTCTAATTCTCCTTAACCGTGTTGAAAAAAGTATCTTCCTGTGACCCATCATCTTTTCTGTTAGTCACAGAATCAAAGTCCAAAGAGAATTTCAAGTTCATCTAGTCCAACAGTCAACCCAGCACTATCATAATTATCCCTAAACCAAGTGCCACATCCAGATGCTTGCCTGGGCAGTTTATTCCAATGCCTTTCCACCCTTTCACTGATGACTTTTTTTTCTAATATCTAATCTGAACCACTCCTAGCAAGGGAAGTGTCTGATAAAGACCTATCTTTATTGATACAGAAGATTATGTCCTTTTTTATTTGCTGCATTTTTTAAATACTGGCATTATATTGACTTCTCTCTGCAATAAAACAGAATAAATCACATTTTATTTAATTTCATTTTAGGATTGAGTTCTTCTTCACAACACAATATTATTTCAAATGGATGTTCCTTTATCCTAGTATATATTTTATTACCTATTTCATTAATTTTAAACATAGTGATACCATAATATTTGGGTTGGTTTTGGTTTTATGTATGTATAAGCAAGAATGGGCCATAGGCATCTACAAGATTCATGCAGACAACATATAAGAATATCCTTGTGTTGTGTTCATAAAGCAAAACAGATATGGAAGCAACAGTGTTCAGGAAGGCACTATCTTTTAGATTTATCCACTAGTATTGAACTCACAATAAACTTCTTGATGCAATGCAGACTAAAATTTCATAATCTAGGCTGCGGAGATTCCTGCTTTTTTGCTCAATTTTTTTTTTTTTTTTTCACATCAGCTTCTTTGACAATCCTCCTAGTTATTCAGTCACAACAATCTGTGAATCCTCTAATCCTCTTTACCGTAGTCTCTAAGGAGAAGTCTGTCTCAATGCTGAATGCATGGAACTCTCACTGAGGTACCAGATTAACATGCAAATAAGATTTTATTTTAATTAAAAAATCTGCAGTAGGAACTATAAAGGTATTAGAAATAAAAATAGTAGGAATGTTTAAATTATCAATTAGCTATGAAAAAAAATCACCTTTCCTTAAGGTGATTGGTGATATACATTTTTAAATTGCATTATTTACTATGATGTAAGAAATAAGGACAGAATGATTTCTAATACTAATTGCTTTAGAACAAAGGTATAATAGTCTAAGGAAGTCATTCTCATTTATTTCCTTATGTGGCGCTGTTGTGTCATTGGGGCTTTCTTATCTGTAAGTAATTAAATCTGTCTGAGGAATCTGCCACTCATCAGGAATTATTAACATTTTAACATTTTAACATTTAAATACAAACATGTATCTTATTTACATAAGCCTTTAATTTATGGTTATGTAAAATAATTTAATCAGAGTATGATGCAGTGCTGTACAGAGCTCATGAGCACAGCATAAATACTTCCTATTTTCTATCTTCCAGTTTTTCTTACTATACAGGGAATTAAAAAGTAAAATAAAAATGCCATGAAATTTCCCATTGTGAATGTTTTCAAAGGTAGGAAAAAAGTCTGAAATTTGAAAAACTTAATTTCCAATAGATCTGTCATGTGTTTTCATAGAGTCCCTAAAATAATCATATAACCATAAGGCTGTAGAGAAGTTTGAGATATTCCTGTCCTCACAGCTCAAAGCAGGATGAGGTACACCTGAAAGATTCGTATCTAACCTTTTCTGAAATATGTCTAGTCATGGCTATTCCATAATTTTCCTGAAGAATTTATTTCTGTGCTTCACTAGCTTCATTTTACAGTTTCTTATTTTTCAATGTAAATCTCTTTTGGCACAATTTATTGTATGCATTTTGAACATGGGGTAAAATTTACAGTGTCTTCTCTTTTATCTCACTTTTTGTCCGTCTGCACATTTTAATTTTTTTCACTTTTTTTTCCCCCCTAATGAAAAGGATTTGGTACAAGGGTAATAATTGTATGATGACTAAGAATGTCAATTAATTCTTTACTCTGTGTGTGTTCCCAAACTTCATGCCATAGGTCATTGTTCCTTATGCTTATTATAAAAAATTACCTTAGTGTGACCATCTTGTTGCAAGTCTACCTTCATTAGGGTAAACTGTTGTACAGCAACCTGTGTAGAGGCTGAATGCATATATCTTTCCCAGGGTCACAAAGAAACTTGAAGAAAGAACCTATTCCTCTGAGATGACTTCCAATTACTGCTATTTAAGACCATCCTTGCCCCTTCTGCAAGACCCTGACCCATTCCTTTCCAATGCAGCAGCAGAGTAGGTGTGTTCCGTGCAGACCCTGCTCACCCCCCTCTCCTCTCGAGTATCGTTTACCCAGGGTACTGAATAAAACTGGGCTGCCAGATGTGTTTGACTTCTCATCTGACCCTCATATTTCCACCTGGCACTGTTTCCTCTGTTCCTCTCTTGGGCTGTTCAGCATGGGATGTTTTCATCCTAAAATGCTAAGATTTGGAAAAACAGTAAATAACTGGAAACAGGGTGTTTTAATAAAATATGTTGGACAAGATTAAACATAGGCATGAATACTTACACTTGTCATGAAGTAATAATCAGTTTTCTTTTACTAAATGATAAGCATTATGTGTTGTGGTGTGTTTTTTTTTCTTTGATTGTTCAGTGTCTGTTCACCCCCCCCACCAATCTCCTTCCTTCCCCAGTTGTCAGTCTTCCCAAGCTCTTCCCTAACCCCCTCTTCTCCCAGTTGTCAATCCTCCCTTTCCCTGCCCCTTTCCCCAGAACATTCCCTGTCATTCCTACTAGTCCCCACCCCTGCTTCCAGAGTATTCCCTGTCTATTTGGTGAGGCTCAACACCCTGTTGGTTATTTTGTGTTACTGCACTCTCCTGTTTCCCCTGATAGGTTTGTGCTATGTTAGTCCCTCCTTAGATCCTCCCCAGCCCTGCCCTCATTGGTTGCTGTTCCTATACCCCGCCTCTTGAGTTCCTATATAAAACCTTTGTTCTCCCTCCCCAGAGGGTCTTGGGGCTCGCTGATTAAAGCCATCCTGTTCACTTGTAAGTCCCATGTCGCCTCCGGCTGTCCCCACACCAACAAGTGTGACTGCAGAGTTTCACAGGGGGAGCGGCCGCCTGTTCTCTTCCCTCGCCGCCCAGCACGCCTTCCGCTCGGGGAATCGCGGTGGGAGGAGCTGCCCACGAGTTACAACAATTATGTCTTAGATTTATATGCCTCTTAGATTGATCAAGAAAGGCCCTGATATATTTGCAAATATTTTGTACAAGTGTTATTTAAATTCAAATGCAATTTAAATATAGATGTTTTATATTACACATAGTAGTGTACTTGCCACAATGCTCATTGCTTGCTTTTTTTTCCCCAAAATTGACTCAACATATACTAACAGTATTTTGAATAAATTATTATCTTTCCCTTTACAAAAAGGTTTCTTGCTTTAAAAAATAGTAAGTAAATGAAGGATTTACACAAAATGCACAGAAATTGCCTTTAATCAAAGAAGTCAATCAGAAGGGAATTATGACAAACTATACTCTTACTTTGTTACATATTCAAAAAAATCCAATTTCTTCCATTGATACAGTTAGCAAAAATATGTGTGAGTGTATGATTTGAAACAATGCAAGGGTAAAAAAAAGCCTGCATTTCAGTCCGTATAATGACATTCCTATCCTTTCCTCACTTCATTTATTCTTCAATGAAGAATTTATGAATCCACTACTTCTTAATTTCAGGCTACCTACTTGATTTACATGCAGAGTGAGTGAAATTAAATGGCAAAGGTAACTGCATCCTGCAGATCAGATAGAATTTAAAGGCTCTAAGAAAATACATCTCAGCAAAGATTATAGCAAGTTTAATCCATTTTGGTACAGGCAGCACACCATCACCTTTCTAGTTAATTTGCAGTTTCTCAATGTAGTAATTTCAGAAACTCAAGTCCAAAAACTAGAAGTGAAAGGCTCTGGAAAAAAAAAAAGGCCTAAGCAGAGGGAATGTAAGTGTTAAGTATTTTTTTTTTTAAACCATTAATGTCTTTTCAGTCAGGCTTAATAAATATACTAGATGGATTCCATCTGTTTACAATTTCAAGTATTGCAGCGATTAGTTGGAAACAACTAAGGAAATGTATTAGCCTCTCCATAAAACTGGAACTGTGTTTAAACTGGGATTTTTCATAAGTCCCAGCATTGGCCTTATTTTACTTCCTCTAAATTCGATTGGAGTGTGATTTTTGTACATCCCTGGTGTTCCTACAGTAATCAAGGATTTCTAGAGACTCTGCAGAGGGTTGATACTGGGTCTGTTTCACTAATGTGCTGAGATTTTGTACTTGGGATAGGACATAGTTTCTCTAAGGTGCATCTACTTGGTGAATTGATGTATTATAACTAGTGGATGGCAAACACTAATAAGCACAGTAATTTTCTTGTTCGAGGTTATTTAGGTAAATGAAGTGCATTACTCACTAAGAACATGCTACCAGCAGGAGTTCTCTTTATTACCTGGCTATGCACCACGTAGCAAATTACCTCTTAATCTTTGTTTGGTTTTCTTTTCTTGCTATGAGGCAAATTAAAGATGGAAAAAAAATCTTCTTTATAGAATGACTGGTAAAGTCTATTAAGTAATAGGATGTGGCTATGAAAAAGGCAAACCACAAGAATGAAGTTCAGTTTGTCTGAACTACGAGTATGCTTTCTGGGTGGGAATGATATTTTAAAAATAAATTTAGCATTTTATTAAAATGTATTTAATGAATTTAATATTTTTTATATTTTGTTTTTAATAGCTAGATTCTGAAGGTGGCATATCAGATATAATGGTTTTTTTCCTCTCTAAACATAACTGAGAATGTGTTAGATTTTGACATGAAATATAAAAGCATAGGGAGTCCCAGTTACCTACTGCAATTTTTTTTTCCTTTCTGTGCTGTTGACTATTTAGCCTCCAAATATGGATTATTGTGCAGTATTTTGCACAGCAATGTTCATGATCCTTGACTGGAGTTTCAGTGTACTGCCTTAGTATAAATAGTACATAGTAATCCCTTTGGTAATCTGAGATGAAATACTCTTACAAATTCAACAGGGTTTAGAGGCTTTTAAAAGACATAGGAGAGAAGAGGTCATAGAAGGACTTTGTGTCCCTCCATTTTCTCTGAAACCTGCTCTCAGATGCTTTGTTTACTTTCTTCAATACTCTGTCTTTTCCAGGACTTGCTGCAACTTTATCTCATACCTTGAAGGTTTGTGTTAGTTTCTTGTTAATAAGACTCCCCTGTCTTCTATTAGAGTGCAAATGAGGTGCTGAGTGCGTTCTTCTGCTCCCTTATTTCTTGCTGTGAACAGACAGGGTAGTCTTAGCCCACCCTTCCAGAGGTTATTATTACTCAGCAATTAGCCATTAATGAAAACTACCTGTTGCTCTGTTACATTGTCAATAAAGAGAGAGGGGAGAAAAAATATATTGATAGTCAGAACCAATTTGTGTGCAATTCTATCCAAGCTATTAGGAAACAGATATTAAATGTTTCAGTCACTATGCTGTAATTCAGTGTTTGGTACAGTCTTGTGGGTTTCTTCTTTCAGACACAGTATTTAGGTGGCTGAGACCAGTGCTGTATCTGTTTACTCTTTATCAATGTCCATCACCATGTACTGGAGTATTTTAAAAAATGAGGGTATGCTGAGAGGAAAAGGCAGATTGTTTTTTGTTTTTCTTTTTTTTTTTTTTTTTTTTTTTTTTTTTTTTTTTCATGGACAAAAAAATTCTATGGGAATTGTCACTGACTTAGCAAGCAAAAAAAAAAAAAATTGCTCTTTTAGAGGAAAAGAGGAAATTAAAAAATTAAAAAATGTGCTGCTCCAAACAGAAAAATTGCCTTCCTTCCTTCTTCCTCATTCTATACATCTGAGACTGCACAGATGCATTTTAAAAAATTAAATGTCACAGTAACAGCAGATAAGGTGAAAACTTTTCTATTAACATTTTCATGAAAGTTGATGAGCTCTGTATGCATATGATTTATGAAAAAAGTATATATCTATGAACCTTATTTCATTATGTATATTACTCAGGCAAATGGGCATGCTGATGATTTCTTGCAAATCAGGTGACTTTTGATTAAACTTTCACTCTTGAAAGACAATTAGCATACGAAAATAGTCTACCCAAATTAATTGCCCTGGGACTCCCAGTGGGACTTCCACCCACACTCTGTGCCCATGGGTCTTTGTTGCCCACTTCAGGTCAGGCCTTGTTGCTGCCTGAGCTATGTTTAGGTGTGTTTACCTCCAATTCTGTCTCTGGTCCTGTCTCCTAGACAGACTTTGGACCTGTCTTGTAGCCTTGTCTCCAGCCCTGTCTCTGACCCTGTCTTTTTTGCTCCTGACTGGACTCCCTGGATGGACTCTAAACCTGGTCCACCACTTGGCCTTATTCATGGCGCCTGTTGATGGAGACTGATCCTTCTCTGCTTGCTGTGTCAGACCCTGTGGGGCTGAACCTTCTTGTTAAGGGAGCTGCTTGTGCTGGGGTTATCTTGGCTCCCATCTCCTCTCTCAGCGAGCCCTTATGGCAACCTGGAATATATCTGGGCAAAGTCTGAAATTCCTGTTGAGAAAATTCTAGCAATTTTGATTTCCATAACAATATAGTAGAATAATACAATTGTTTGATTTAAAGATCCTTTAATCCATCCCATCTACTTGGAACAGGGACATTGTCCACTGCATCAATTTGCTCAGAGCCATGTCCATCCTGACCTTGAACAACTTCCAACAATGGGCCATCCACAACTTCTCTGACAAACCTGATCTTACCACTCTCATCACAAAAAATTTTATCCTCATATCTAGTCTAAATCTGCCTTCTTTAAAATCATTACTCCCTATAGAATTGCAAGAACAATCACAATTCTCTCACCCTTTCCTCCTAGATGTGCTCCTCTCTGATTATTTTTGTGGTTCTCCCTAGATCAGACCAGTGTCTTTCTTGTACTGAGGACTCCAGAGCTGGATGCAGCACTTCTGGTGAAATCTTAGCAAGCTGGAGTGGATAAGGGTGAATCACCTCCCTCGACATGCTGGCCACATGTTTTTTCATGCAGCCTGGGATACAGCTGGGTCTCTGAGTTCTAAGCACACATTGCCATTCCATGGCTAATTTTTCATTCACCAATATATCTCCAAGTCCTTCTCTGCAGATCTGCTCTCAATCTGTTGATCCTGCAGGCTGTATGGATAGTGGGGGTCAGCATGACCCATGTGCAGAACATTGCACTTGATCTTTTTGAGCTCCATGAGGTTTGTGTAGCCCCACCTCTCAAGCCTGTCAAGGTCCCTCTGGATGACATCCGTTCCCTCCAATTTGTAGGCTGCACCACACGCTCTGGTGTTGCCCAAGGAATGGCACTTGTTACTAATCACTATTTGAGCACTATCTAAATATGGATTAAACAGTAACAGAGAAAACTCCTGGACAATTGGACTCTTACTTGACTATCCTGACTGTCCTAACAGTCCTTGAAATGGCTTTCACTGATCAAACTAGCATTTTGCCAAATAACTCCCAGGTATAGTAATACCTAGAAATTAGCAATAACCAAACTCTTCGGGAGGCATATTTTATTGTTCTAGCTGGCCTCAGTGCTAGACAGTGGTTTGAGCATGTTTTGTTTACTACTGTTGTAGATCACATGTATCTATTTGACTCGAATGCTCAGCTTTTCTCAATGTGATAAAGGCAGTTGATTTCCCTAAAATATTCTAATGAGCAAATTTGAACACATAGACTAAAAAAGGCAGTAATCTTTATCAGAAATGGTGTCTTAATAGACTTCCATGAACCTTAAGAAGCAATGAATTAAATTCTCTCAAATGCACATTTTAAAAATCATTCTCCCTTCAGCTCTGACAGTCATACAACAGATCTGGTTACTTTAGTTTCAGGGCAGTGCAATGACACCAGTGCCATGACTTCCAGACTCTACTGCAGAATGTAGTAACTGTTTTGGCAGTAGAATTTACCAACTATTTACTCTACTTTTAGAAGCTGTTGCTCAGATTAAACTGACTAGGTATATCTGGATAGACATGTGACACTGAGTCAGAACACCTCTGAGAAAGCAATGTTTAATGTAAATATTTTTAATTTTCTTTTAGCAGACAGATTTTGTTTCTACTAATAAGAAACATACCCTTTTGTTTCATAAGCACATAATTATGTTAACCATGGTTACAAGTTTTACCAGTGGAACAGTAAGCATTGAATGATGATAAAAAAAGGAGATTCTTATCTAGGTTTTAATTTTTGACCTACTGATTCACATTGAAGTAACTAAGTTATTTATAACTTTTCCATTCTTTCTAGTCAGAGTTATTTTTAATTGCATCCATTATTTTAAAGAGGCATGTGCAGTAGCATTTTGCTTGATTATTTCCAGACAAAGTCTGTCTTAATAAAGAGGAGGAAGTAGGTAGTTAATCTATCATCTCTATAAATTAACTCCATGTCAGGGAAAGATTTTTCTTTGTGTCATTAGGACAATCAAAACAATAGAAGGCAAAAACAAGCAGGAGGAGTTTCTACCTGGTTCTGTATTGAATGTATCCATTTTTCTCCATTCAAAATGATCTCAAAAGGCAGAAATTTCATGATGCATAGCAATAGGCCATGTGAGAGTAAAGACTTAGATCTGACTGATTAGATAACTTTGCATAAAAGAATCTGGGGGTTCCTAGTGGACAACAAATGGAACATGAATCCACACTCTGTTCTAGCAAGTATGAGGGCTAACTACCCATTCTGACTTAAAAAGAGCACCGAAGGTGCACAGCAAGAGTATGAGAGATAGAAGAAGCAAGTTAAAGCAAAGGAAAATTTAATTCCATTTAGTTTTCATAATAAGGGTGGTCAAAGGGTGGACCAGATTACCTAGAGAAACTATGGAAATTCCAATCTTGATGATATAGATTCACAATTATGCTGAAAAATATTTGTGTGCCTTGATCTAACCTAGGAGTTTAGTCTAACCTCTAAATATTTTCAGCAGGATTTTGGATCTCATTCCTTCTGGAGAAGCCTTCCAACCTGAGCTGTTCTATCAAGACCTTTATTTTCCATAGTGACACAGCAAGTGTCATCAAGTGCACACTCAGAAAGTTTGCAGATGATACCAAGCTGAGTGGCGTCATCTGCAGGCCTAAAGGAGAGCCAAAAATATGATCAGAAGTTTGGGGCAGTTCTCCTATGAGGAAAGGCTGAGAGAGTTGAGGCTTTTCAGCCTGGGGAAGAGAAGGCTTCAGTGAGAAGCCTTTTAATATCTGAAGGGGGCCTGTAGAAAGATGTGGGCAAACATTTTATCAGGGGTTGTGC